CTGGAACGACTTTGTGCAAGCTTTGTAGTACACAGTAGTACTGGGAAGTAGTTTGTGCAAGCTTTGTAGTACACAGTAGTACTGGGAAGTGCTTTGTGCAAGCTTTGTAGTACACAGTAGTACTGGGAACGACTTTGTGCAAGCTTTGTAGTACAAAGTAGTACTGCGAACGACTTTGTGCAAGCTTTGTAGTACAAAGTAGTACTGCGAACGACTTTGTGCAATCTTTGTAGTACACAGTAGTACTGGGAACGACTTTGCAAGCCTTGTAGTACACAGTAGTACTGGGAAGTGCTTTGTGCAAGTTTTGTAGTACAAAGTAGTACTGGGAAGTGCTTCGTGCAAGCTTTGTAGTACAAAGTGGTACTGGGAAGTAGTTTGTGCAAGCTGGGAAGTAGTTTGTTCGAGCTTTGTAGTACACAGTAGTACTGGGAAGTGTGCAAGCTTTGTAGTGCAAAGTAGTACTGGGAACTTTGTGCGAGCTTTTAGTGCACATTGTACTGGAAGTGTTTGTGCGAGCTTTGTAGTACACAGTAGTACTGGAAGTGTTTGTGCAAGTTTTGTAGTACACAGTAGTACTGGGAAGTAGTTTGTGCGAGCTTTGTAGTGCACATTGTACTGGAACGACTTTGTGCAAGCTTTGTAGTACACAGTAGTACTGGGAAGTGCTTTGTGCAAGCTTTGTAGTACACAGTAGTACTGGGAACGACTTTGTGCAAGCTTTGTAGTACACATTAGTACTGGAACGACTTTGTGCAAGCTTTGTAGTACACAGTAGTACTGGGAAGTAGCTTTGTGCAAGCTTTGTAGTAGTACACAGTAGTACTGGGAAGTGTTTTGTGCAAGCTTTGTAGTACACAGTAGTACTTTGTGCAAGCACAGTAGTACTGGGAACGGCTTTGCAAGCCTTGTAGTACAAAATAGTACTGGGAAGTGCTTTGTGCAAGCTTTGTAGTACACAGTAGTACTGGGAACGGTTTCGTGCAAGCTTTGTAGTACAAA